TTTCTAGAGTAACGTGACTGTGGGAATTAAAAAAACGCTGTTCATAGTCGGTAAAAGGAGGTAGATTTACATTGTACTTAGCTCGCAAAAAAAGATACAGGGAGAGTAAAGTAATTTATTTAGAGAGAAAAGAATTGAGGAAACATAATGACAGTACGGAACTTGGACAACAATAGTTTTTGTCAGATTACTTCTCACAGAGTCTAACGGATATTCAGAGTAACTTGCTTCTGCCTACATTTGGTCTGTCAGTGTTTTTTTTAATATTCTAAGTCTTTTCAATATTACTTTGATGTTTTTGGATGTTCAACCGCCTATCGGAATTTCATTTCCGATAGTAAATAGCGTTCTTGAATATTGGAATCTGTGTCGTGTGTGTGTGTATGTGTGTGTAGACCTTTTGTATCTACGTTGTATTGTATAGATGTATATGAGTTGTCGCTTCGAAAATAGTCCGAAAGTAAGAATAGACTAATCTCAACTTCCTTTGTAGTTTGTTTAATCCGACGAATGGATGGAGAAAGTTAGAGTCAAGTACAGGTTGTAGTGAATACTGATGAATTATATTAGATGTAGAATTAATGCGAAAATGAATGAAAACCAACATATATACAAAAAGGAAATATACGAACGAACTACATTATAGTGAGTCGCCGGATTTCAAAACATCATCCTGCATGGTTGGTTAAGTAAAGGACAAACAAAATCTGACCGTTGGGATCCACAATGAGAAGCCTAACTTATGTGTCCAAAAGAAGCTAGTTCAAACATTGTTCTCACCTTCTTCATCTAGGTTCGAATGATCTTCAATGTTTTGTAGAAATTTCCTTAATTCTGTTTGCTATTATATCTCTATTATTATTATTATTTATGCATCTTTAGTGAAATGTAATTCCACTGATCTTACTCAACAAATCGAAGATATTTAAAAAGCACTAATGTTGTTAATGACTCCTATTCTAGAATACTTTATGTATATAAGCATATATATATATATTTGTAGAGCCAGAATGGTAAATTATTGAAAAGGATATTCTTTACTCAATTATTTTTTGTTTTTATAAATCATTATCATCAATCCCTTGGGTTTCGACTGGAATATAGGGCTTCAGCAGTACATTTCCATTGCATCCTCTTCTCATCAGTCCTTATCGGCTGATTTCTCGATTGCTTATAAGGTCTCATTCCTTCCAACACGGCATCCTCCATGTTGCACTCGAAGTGACACCTAACTCGTCGTTTGGTGTGTGGTGTCATTCAGTGATCTTTCTGTATGTCTGGTTCATCACCATTTGCTTCAGTGTATTTGTTGGGCATTAGATTCCTGACAGGTTTGTTCCCAGTTCCTTTTTGTAAATCCTTTCTGGACATCCGATACTGAGTATTGGAAAAAGGCAATTACAAACGGTGTTTATCATTGGTTAATATCAGAGAAGCGATAGATCAACTTGAAAACAGAACCGATGAAAACGACTGTCAGTCAGGATATAAATCACGGAAGGAAGAGGAACGAAGAAGTAAATACGGATACTTTGTATGAACTGGCGTTTCAATTAAGGCTTGTTATAGTTTATCATTACCGTAGGTATTGTCACCCGATACCTCAGTGTTCTAAGTTACGTTGCTCGTAAAATTGTTGCAAACCTTTCTGGAAAGCCGACCTTACAAAAGTCGAAATCTTTCATTTAATAGAAATTTATCAAGTTTCATATTTGACCCTTGTAACAAATAAGATGGATATAGCCATTATGTTGTATTGTAACAACAGAAGACAAGGGTCAAGCAACAGATCGTTTATTAAAGAAAATCAACACACATATATAGATTTTAATGTACATTATTGTAGATTATTGTTAGTAGAAAATACAGTCATCTGATTGGTTGTTTCTCACAGACGCAGGTTTGAATCTCAGAAGGGACATGAGTTCCTTCAAGGTTGCAGATACGCCTTGCTGACGAGTGCCAACTAGCACGAAACCTAGGTCCAAGGCTTCCTGCCGATTGCCTCCAACCATCTAATATCATCACAAACAATGTACACCGTGATGGCGAGCTACCTAGAATGGTGGTCACATTACAACCTGACTGATAGAATTCAGTCTGCATCAAAGAGAGGACTAGACGCATCACACTAGTTACTAGTGTCAAATCAAAATAACCTTGCATCTCTTTGTGGCTATGTCAGATCATCCATATGCTAACTGTATCCGCCTATGCAAAGCCTTTGTTATCATTTTCTCACCACCAATATTGGGGACATAAACATTGACGTCAATAACTGTCTACCAACTTTGGCTAGCAGCCAGCTCTCACCACAGTATTATTAAAATATTATTATTGGAGTGTAGTGTTACTCACTCTTCATATTGGGTGGTTTTCTCCTGAAATTAAACTACAAGTCTGGAATAACTATGACTTTTTGCTTCCGCGTTTATGTATTTCTAACTGTTTCCAAAGGCTTCGATCATGTTGGATATATTCATCATCACTGTGAAATATATTGACTAGTGGATGGAGGATTTCATCATGAGCTGACATCAGTTAGAGAACCACTGGAAAACCAATACTGGGGTACTGGACAGCTGTTTTGTCAGCTTAGGTTAGGACTCTTCATCAGCACGCACTCACCGCCGGGGTTCGAACCGAGGACCTTCTGGTTACAAGGCGAGCTAGCTCGCAGACTATTAAGCCACTGGGATCCGATCCAATGGCCAGTCCATGAATGATAACTTCTGCCAATTCATGACAGCTGTCCAGTACTCCTAGGTTTTCTGGTGGTTCTCTAACCGATGTCCGCTCATGATAAAATCCTGTGACAAAGCAATGTGTTCTGAAAAGAAAGACTTTAGTACGCAGCAAATGATTTTCATCTGTTGATGTGAATTATACAATAGTGTACACTGCCTAATGGTGGGATTACTTGGAGAACACTCACATGAGATTGTAATGCTTGCTAGCCAGATTGAAGTTATGTAAATGCACTTGGCTTTGTTGTGATGTATGAGTTGTGGATAGCTTAACTGTCTTTCTAAGCAGCCTTCGGAGACTCACCATGAAGAAGTCAGCTAGGGGTGGACCGAGAGGAGACCACATAGCTACACCATCTTTCTGCACATAGAATTGTTTATTGAATTTGAATTGGATATTAAACATACATCTAAAAAGTAGTTCCTTCAGGTAGTTGATGGGAAGAGGAACTGCTGGGTTGTCGATTTCAGCGAAATCACTCATGAAGCATATCGTCTCGGTCAGTTAACATTTAGTGGAGCATTTGTCTTTCAAACATGTTGATATCTTTCACTTAATCGATGAAGTCGAATGCATCACCAAGGCTATCCTTTGTTACATGTTGTCTTACCGATTCAAGGGTATCTGCTAGCTGGTAGGATTCGAAAAATCTGTTCGGAATACACGACGGAGAAAGGGTTAAATTCACTATGTAAAACCCTACCAGAGAACGGGTATCCACCAAGGTTCATAGACAAAAACATGAAAGAAAAGCCCTTGTCCCCAAAAATAACAACTGTTCCTAAATAAGCTCTCTTCATGAAGCTGGAATTCAAAGGTGACATCGAAGCTGTCTTTCTAAATATCTGAAGAAGACATTTCAATCAACCACCTTACGTATCACCTTCTCCAGCAGACAAATAATCCAGTATAACGTTAAGCGTAAGATAACGCTTTTGACCATCTCAATGTGTATTTATCAGTTAACTTGCTCGTGTGGAGCAACGCCAACTCCGCAAACGTATTCTGAAACACTGTCCAGCTTCTTTAGCCACAGGAGAAAAGAATAATACTAGCAGCTCCATCTTCGAGCACCTTGTCAACTCTGTACATCGAGCACCCCCACTTGCATGAATGCTTCACAGTGCTACACACAGTCCCTCAGTATAGCACAAAGGGACTTTGAATAGCCATCTGTAGATAGCTGGATCACTGTCTGTTGAAGATCTGAAACCGGACCTCTGCATTCAAAAGCACCACATGCATTCCCTTGCCCTACCGTAGACAGAGTAATATTCTCACTTTAATTTTGTTTCCTTTTAATGTGTAAGTTCGCTATTACTATTATTTTCATCATCCTTATTTTATTATCACTCTGCTTCTGTTTATTAACAGCATTGCGTTTTCATACAGATTTTATAAAAACACTTTATCGTCTTTCCTCTAGTTCTTGTCCACTCTACACCATTATACTGATTAGTCATTTTCTCATATACATTACGTCATGTCAACTTCTGTCCGTTTCCTAATTTTCAATTAGTTACCCCTTCTAGATTACACTTTATTTTACGTAATGCATTTTTGATTACAAATTTCACCAGTAGCTGACTGGTCTTAAGAATTCTGTGCGTCGGTGGCACAGCGGTTAGGACTCTCGCCGACCATGCACATGGTTCGGGGTTCGACCCCCTGCACACCTGATATCTATGGTCGGCCTGCAAAATTTGGGCTACCGATATCATATGCTGAAAATTCCATGCTTGTACCAAAAATGCTGTGTGGTTTTGAGCTATAATAAAAAAATGAATGAACGGAAAGAAAATTGTCTTCTCTGTTTACGTCTTTTTCTTATATTTTCAGATGCCTTCAGTTGGTGTTAATTTAGTGTATGGTTGACTAGCAGTGGAGTCCAAGAATAGCATTTTGTCCTGTTTGAGAATCGTCTTCCGGATGTACCTTCATTCTCAGTGAGTGACGAGGGTGTTTCCACTAAAACTTCAACTCGGCACTCATCATTTCAAAAACCAAAGCATTATCTGTGAAAGGCGCATCCTGGATGACAACTGCTAGTCACTATCAACCAGAATAACTTGATGTCATCGAAACATCTGTGGATAAGGAGTAAACGTGCCTCTATATAGTTGTTGGCATGAATTATTAGGAATTTTGATTCTCTTACCATATCCCGTTGACTGTATATGAATACAAAAATACCAATGACTCTCTTTGCTTCTATTCTCTATGTGTTTTTATTTTTTCCGCTCTAATTATAGGAAGAACCAATCAGAGGATTCGATTATATCAAATATCTTTCATATATGTATCAATTAGATCAAAAGTATACTAAACAACTGAAAAATATGAATGAATGTACCAATGACGATGCACAGAGCAATCAATAAAAGATCCCCACAAAGAAGGGAATCTAATCATTGCATAACATACTATTTCAAGCAAAGTCAGATGTGGAAATAGTGGGAAAAGTAGTTGGGGAAATAAAAAGCACAATGGGGCAATCAACTTGAAAAATCCTGTATATATATATTTATACATATGCAAATGATTATGCTCTACTGGTATTCTTCTCTCTGTTTTCCGATACCACAAAACTGAATTCTTTAGATAACGCTATTTCTAGGATGTATTCAAATGTATGTTTGTCTGTATATATACTGAATAAAATGTAAATATTGTGAATACAAAAGAAAAAAACGGAATACAGTACAGATGTTGTTATTTGTTTATTTATTTGTTTATTGAATCATGAATCTATTCATTGAAAATTGAATCACGAATCACTTTAACCCTAACACTAATTTTATCGACTGATTAAAAATGCCCATTAAAATTTCTTCAAAAGAATAGTAACTGAACAAATAATATTCACCCTTTCGATAACCCCCTCTTCAACAGGTTCTACAGTTATATATGCATAATAGTGAGTGAATTAGTGTTATTAACAACATCAATGTTGTTTAAATAACATCGAATCGATAATAATAGTAATAAAAATGATATCAATAGACTACAGTTTGACAGGATCAACATAGCAGTACACTGAATTTCACAAAAACTAGGAAAAACAATAATACAGATTCGTGAATTCATAGTCTCCACTGAACGCTAGAGGAATAGTAGTGGATGGACTTGCCTCTTCTGCACACAGGGTACTAGTTGTTCCAGGCGAATCACGATAGCCTTTGCTGTTTGGAGTATGAGGTACCTCGATGTTTCAGGTAGTTTGTTTGCATAGGAAAAGCATATGGACAGGACAATATAAACATTTTCATAGCTTCGTTCCTCTCCAGTACAAAAGAAATTTATTGAAGACCCTCAGCCACAGGGTTAGAGCTATATGCTCAAAGGAGGTAATTGAAGACGAACTAAGTATTGTGTATGACAACTTGATTGAAAATAGCTATCCAGACACATTTATCAAGAAACACATGACAAAGAAAGCGGTAGAGGACTATTGACTATCCGTAAACAAGAAGCTTTCATACATTTGAGTGCAATTCAAGAGCTATATTCCTAGCAGAATAATTACGAGGAAGATAAGAAAATCAGTTCAAAGAACTTTTAATGTTGGAATAAATACAAGTCTTCTTTTCCACACAACTGGTGGTGATTCCACAATTGAAAGATGAACTACCCATACTATCCACTTCTAATTGTATCTGCCAATTCAAATGCGCTAATGGAGTGAGTTTTATTCGCCATTGCTCTAGGAAATTGATTTTTCGTGCTTCCTCGGGAAGATCTACCTGTGTGACTATATAAAGGTGTGGTGAGATTAATCAGTAGCTCAATATTAGACCAATTGGCTCAAGCTGGCCACAATGCTAATATTGATGAGTTCTCCATGATCTACTCGGTACCAAATTAACTGGCAAAAATACCCAGGTGCCGGATACTACAAACAGTAGAGGCTATCGCGATCCGTCTGAAACAACCGGTGCTCTATGTTCAGAAAAAGCAAGTCCAGCCACAACTACTGCTCTAGCCAGGCTTCGGTGGAGATTACAAACTCATGAATTTGTATTATCATTATCTTTCCTAATTTTTCTGAAATTCAGTGCAGTGTTATGCTGATGCTATTGATATTATTATTAATATATTATTGACTGGATGTTATTTAAACAACATTAATGTTGTTAATAACACTTATTTACTCACTATTATATACATATATTCCGCTTCGATTTGATATTTTCGTACTGATTAACGTCTCTTCATAAACTACTGATAAATATTGTCAGTAGCACACACCACAGTGTCGCCTACCTCAACACACAATAGATATGGCTTCTTAGCATGGATATATGCAAATGGTTGACAAGGGTTTCATTTCATGACACTTCGCGCGCTCTTGCGACTTGTTAATAACTATGATTTGATTTGAATAAAGAAACAGAAGAGAAATCCATATGGGGAAAATAATATTAAATGATATTTTTATCGGTTTGTTTACGGACAAATAAAAGGTTTCCTAATTACGAAAATATTACTAGAGACAATAAATGCGTGAAAAACTTGAATATCGAGTTGTTAGAATTGTAATTCCATGTTCATATGTTCGTTAGATATATATGACAGTGAAATAGGATTATTTACTGGATGATCGAACCTAAAGCATTGTTCATAGTCGTATCATCAATTCTAACCTCACAACTTCCAAATTTTGTCTTCATTATTATTATTATTGTTTCCTTTAATTCCTAGAGGAACATAGGGCTTCACCCGTGCGTCTCCATTGCGTTCAGTGCTCTGCTAGAATTTGCACCAGGCTCCAAGTCTGCCCACACGACTTCATCTCCTCTTCACATGACCTCCTCCAAGTCACCCTCAACCACTGACGACCAACTCGCCACTTTCCTTTCGAGTTCCACTCGAGCAATAGCTTGTCTAGTGATGTCACTTGATGGTTTCCTCAGAGTATGGCCAATCCGTCTCCATTTCTTCCTGCCTATTTGTTTCACAATCGATTCCTGCTGTGTTGGTTCGCTCATTGCCAGAGATCTCTGTTGCTGATCGTTTCTGGCCGGCCATCTGATCTTGAGTATTGAGCGAAGACAACTGTTAAAGAAGGTCTGTAGTTTGTTTGAGATGCTCTTTATGACGCGCCAAGTCTCTGATCCGTAAAGTAGCACTGACTTCACATTGGAGTTGAAAATCTGGATCTTATTTTTCATGTTGAGTGCTGTTGATCTCTTCACAGACTTGAGAGTAGTGAAAGCTTGTCTTGCTTTTCCGATTCTTGCTTTGATATCCTCGTCGGTTCCGCCTGTAGTTGAAACGATGCTTCCTAAGTAGGTGGGTAGGTGGAGGAGATTGCTTCTTTCAGACTCCTCCTAGTTATGCTGATTGTTGTCAGTTGTTGTTGTTGCTGTTGGTGGTGTTGCCCAGGAATTTTCATTACCTCTGTTTTCTCTATGTTCACCTGAAGGAAGTCCTATCTTTGATGCTTCTTCTGCCAAATTGTTGCTTTTCATTTGCATATCTTCCAGTTTGTGGGAAATCAGACATATATCATCGGCGAAGTCCAGATCCTCCAAGTTTTTTGTGTGAGTCCATCTCATGCCTGTTTCCTCATCGCCCGCTGTTTGTCGCATTATCCAATCTACTGCAATCAGGAAAAACATTGGCGATAGTAGGCAGTCTTGTCTTACTTCAGTCTTCACTTCGAAGGATTCCGTAAGTTTCCCGTTGTGGATTACTTGGCATGCAGCATTGTCGTACAGCTGTTAGATGAGATGTATAATTGTCGGTGGCACCCTATAGTAGCGAAGTAGTTGCTGAAACACCTCTCGATAGACGCTTTCGAGTGCCTTTTCAAAGTCGATGAAGTTGAGATAGAGAGGTGACTGACATTCCAAGCTTTGTTCAGTGATGATCCGTAATTTGGCAATCTGATCAATACATGACTTGTTTCTCCTGAATCCAGCCTGTTCAGAGCTTGTTTGATTCTCTCCAGGATGAAGCGACTTAGTATTGGTCTTCATACTCCTCTTTTTTCTTTTGCGCTTGTTGTGGGGGCAGAACAATCTTCCAGATGTCCGACAATGGCCCTGAGTTATTCTTGTTGCAAGTATTATCATTTGATTCAACAAGTATAGCTTCAGTTATGAATCGGTCTCTCCATCCTGTTACATGAGATTTTAAAACTTTCACCATTGTCCATCCTCTTGTAAAATTGTGTGTAAGCGCATGTTATGCTACGGCTGAGCTTTTCTCTAGATTTGCTTTTATCAGATTTTGTGCAGCTTTTGTGCTGTGTTAGTCAAAATTTTCTCCGCCTACTGATAATTTGACCAGTGCATTTCACCACACAATCATTGCAGGGTATTAGGTAAATTATTTCGCCTAATGAGTTACACAAGATCATTCAGCCGATATGGTATGTTTCCACGTGAACTTGTGGATTTGAATGCTGCTTTTATTCCCACCTTCTTAAAAATCCTATGTGTAGATTCAGTTGTGTTTCAGTCACTTATTCTTGCAGTTTTCATCCCTCTGTGTATGCTTGTCGTCCACGTTATCATTGATATTATTATTATTACTGTCATTACCATATTTTTTCTTGTAATTTTCTGTATACTTTCTCATCCATTTGTTAGGATAATTATTAAATTCTATAGCTACCATCATATATCATACTTCCCAACACATTTTTTCCTTTACTGCCATATACTGCTCACTAATCCAATTTTCACTGTTGATTTGGTTTGTCTGCTAAATTTATTTATATCCTGTGAGTCACCCAAATACTTTCAAGGTGGGACTAAATGATCAGACACCTGTAGTGGACATCTGAACAAAAATTCTGAGAAAAGAAAGATAGGAATAAATTTGGACAGTTTTATTAGAAGACGGCGATTATCTGAAAAATGTGGTGTATTTGTACACTCCATTTCGATCACCCATTTACTTGTCAAGTCAATTTATATGAAAGAAAATAATTAAAGGGCAACTAAAGTACACCAAGTGACAAAAAGGATTTAAGAATAATAAGAATAATTAACACTACGTGTGGCTATCCAATCAGATGATGGTAACCAAGATAGGTTGAACACATAGCAAGGAGCTTAAGTTTGTGCATAGCTATAGACTCAGCGAATTTCAAGGAGCGCCCCTGACCATTTTTATACTTGACCTTAAAAGCTGTGTTAACATCAATCTTACGGTTTATATCGCTTAGATGTATCGCTATAAACGAAATGGCATGCAGTAAACCATACTGCTTGATTGTGTGATATATCTAATAAACAATTAAATTTGGCTATAGGCGAAGTTAGTAGTCTGCCATCTGCATCCATTGATTTTCCAAAGTTCATCTGTCTTTCTAACCTTTTCGGAATATACTCTTCCACCCTCATATGCAAGGCACAATTACTCCTCCCTA